ATTTAAGCCTATTTTTAGCTTTCTGTTGACAAATTTTTTTTCTGTTCAGTTGAATAGAATTTCTTCATCTGTTTCCGTGGAAGTTGACAACCCAACATCCTCCTTTAGTGCCCCTTTGCCTAAACTAGCACAGTCTCCTACAAAGACCAGGGAGAGGCTGATCCAGAAGGGAGGGAGCTGGGCTGGCGTGGAGGGAGGGGAAGGGGAGGGGGTGGTGACTGTGTCCAGCAGTTCCTGTGTGGCTGGCTTGCCCAGGACGTTCAGGGTAGGGCTGGATTTAAAGGGCCTGGGCTTCACTGTCCCCGTGCTCCTGCCGGGAACTGCCTGTATCAGTGTTCCCAGCCTGCTCCTGAGAGGTGGGATGGGAGAAGCTCCAAAGGGAGGGTCTACAGGTGAATGTACGCGGTGCCCAGTCCGGCTGATGGAGAGCTTGCGCTGCTGCTGGGCAGTGGGTTGCAGCCTCCACTGTGAGACTCCATTAGGATGTGTTTGTGTCTGGTATGTGTCTGGTATGTGTCTAAGTGTGTCACACCTTATTTTATATGTCTCGAATTTGGTTTGGGAAGGGAACAGAAATCACCTGTTGTAAGTTATTCATGTATCATGTTGAGCATTAAGATAAATGTGAAATTGAAGTGTGGGCATGTGCATTGATGCATGTTGTGCGCTGATGTGTGTTGTGTGTTCTGTGTTATCAGTATGTAAGGCATTGATGGGTGTTGAGCATGTGTATGTTTTGGAGGTGTGTGTGGAGTCTGGAAATGTGTTGGATAGGAGTATGTGTGTCGGTGTTGATTTGTCTAGATCAGAGTGAGTGTGGCTCAGCAGGTGCACACATTGGGCTGTGAGTGTGGAGTTAGTGTGATGAAGGGTTCTCTGGGTTGGGGAGATCCTGTGAGTTGGGGTAAATGGAGAGTTTCTCTGCCTGGTCGTTCCATGGTATTTATTATGTAATACACACTTGATGTTCTGCTAGATGCTGAAGATAAAATGATTCTTGCTGTCCTGCACCTTTTAGTCTAGTTGGAGGTGGTTGGGAAGAGTGAGGAACAGGGAGTGTTCTGGGCCTGAATGGAAATGTGTGTGGGCATCTGCAAGGTTCTGTCTTTGGTGGGGAGGGTATTTGTATATTTCTGGGTGTGTTAGGAGAGTGTGTATGTGCTGGAGGAGAATGTGTGGACAAACGGGGTATGGGTGGTTTGGGTGTGTGGCTGTAGTGAGGGTGTGCTGTAGGTGTGGGAAAGTGTGTGAATGTAAGGGGTGTGATAACCGTGTGCGAGTAGGGCATTTCAAGGGAGGGTTCATGTCAGAGTGTTTGCACAATAACAAACATGGGATGGGGGTAGAAGACATGTGAGGGACTGTAGTGTGGGAGCTTATGTGGTGTGAGCTGGGGGCATTGCTGGGGAACAGCAGTGCTGGAGCTGTGCAACAATCTCCTGTGACCTGAGGATGTGCCAGTCATATCCTGGTACATGGTATCTCTACTACGCTCCCCCATCCCCAGTGGTAGCTCTGGCTTCTAGGGTGGGTATGGCTGAGAAGGCCCTATACACATGGTATCCTGGGCCAAAGATGGGGCCATGGCCTCAAGGCTCCTCCCCTATTTTCATCCTCTTGAGCAGGAGCTGGTGGGTACCTGAGGAACACAGGAAGGACGTGGGAGGGGGCCTGTTGGGCTGGGGGTTCTGTGACCAGATGCTGTCTCTTCTTCCTGCTGCCCTGTTCACAAGCCCAGAGGCCTTGACTTCCTTTGAATCAAAGCAAAAGTCACTGCTGGCAGGAGGACTGTCCCTGATGGAGGAGAGAGGGAAAGGTGTTTGGGATTCAGACTTGGGATTCACATTTTCTACGTTATGATCCCCACCCCAGCCCCCGTCACACACACCTATGCATTCATGTACACATACATGTACATAGCATCCCTTGGCCTGCTCTTCCCTGACCAACTGAATTTTGGGGTGGTCAGGGTTCCCCAGGAATGTCTGGGTGGCAGCCTTTACCTGTGATATGTGAAGTTAGGGGATGGGGGTGACAGGTGAATGGGGGGATGGTCCCTGGAGCTGGCTGGGGCTGGGCTTACCAGCTCCACTTCCTACAGGCTCTGAAGCGGAAGCCAGATTTGTTCCTGTGTGAACGACTGGATGTCAAAGCTGTATTCCAGTGTGGTAAGTGGGACCAGGTGGACATGTGGGCCTAGGGCTCCCCCTGGAGGATCCTTGGGCCCCATCTGATCTACCTCTACCTCTCCCACAGCTGTGCTGGCCCTCAAGTTTCCCGAGGCACCTACTGTCAAGGCCTCCTGTGGCTTCTTTGTGAGTCTCATGCAGACCTGTATCCCCCTGCCCTGCTCTGCCGAGTACCTCAGAGGGTAGAGTGTAGTGTGCAGGTCTTGTCCTTAGGGAAAGGTGAGAAGGAGCTGGGGCTAACAAGCCTCTCCATCCTCTGCAGACAGAGCTGTTGCCTCGGTGTGGGGAAGTACAATCCGTGGGAAAGGTGGTACAGGAGGATGGTCGTATGCTGCTCATTGCAGTGCTGGAGGTGAGCTGGAGCAAGTGGGTGTTGGTAGGAGTGGGGAGGCCCTTACTGCTGAGGCAGCTGGCTTTCTGGGAGGGTTGAGCCTTTGGTTCCCTAAGCTCTTGGATTTTATAGCTTCTTCAATTAAATGGTGAAATGTTAGGGTTGCTCTGAGGATCAGCTGGCGCTCAGAAAGCATAGCTTACTTGTATAGTTTGGCTGCAGAACTGTCCCAGAGAGCCTGGGACATAGTTAGTCTTCCTTGCTGCAGAAGAGGCAAAGCCTTGGTGTACTAAGAAGCCCTCTCCTCAGGCCATTGGGGGCCAGGCCTCCCGCAGCCTCATGGACTGTTTTGCCGACATCCTCTTCGCCCTGAACAAACACTGCTTCAGTCTCCTGAGCATGTGGATCAAGGAGGCATTGCAACCACCTGGTTTTCCCTCTGCCCGCCTCAGCCCTGAACAGAAGGACACTTTCAGTCAGCAGATCCTTCGGTGAGCAGAGCTGGGCAGGGTCTGGGCTCTGGTAGGGAGGAAGCGGAAGTGTTGGTGGATGATGCTAACCTATTCTCCCTTCCCTCCTTCAGTGAGAGAATGAACAAGAGGCGGGTGAAGGAGATGGTGAAGGAGTTCACACTTTTGTGCCGGGGGCTACATGGCACAGATTACACAGCTGACTACTGAGGGGCACCCCTGTCCCACACCCATTCTCCTCATCCTTTCCTATCCCCAAAGAGTAAACCTGGACCCTCACTACTGCCTGTGCTTCCTTTCTGCTGCCACTACCCCCTAAGTGAAAGCCTGGGTCTGGAAGCCTGGGAAAAAGATGGGGAGGTGTTTAGACCCAGGCTTGGTCAAGAATGGTGGGGATTCTGGGCATGGTGGTGCATGCCTATAATTTTAGCACTTGAGAGGCTGAGGCAGAAGGATTTCCTGAAGTTCAAGGCCAACCTGGGCTACATAAGGAGTTCAAGGCCAGCCTAAATTAAACTTCAAAGGGAGACCCTGCCTCAAAAAAAAAAAAAAAGGGATAACTTCCTACCTCCTGGGTGGGAGAGGAACTGCTATAGCCAAGCTGACTAGGCTGGAGCCATTTAGAGTTCTGCCATTGCCCTTGGAGTGGGAGTAAGGGTAGGTGGCTACAGTAGTATTAGTCATCCCCTACCCCTGTTAAATTAGTCTCAGTGTGCATGCATGTTTACATTTAATCAATAGTGTTGATATCAGTCCCTAGCTCTTCCCTAAACAAAGGCTATCTAGTCCAGAGCTACCATGATAAAGCAGAAGGGGAGAGGAGAGGCTGTGTGGAGGGAGTTTTGGTTTTGATGGGAATAGAAAGTACCCTAAGTACACGATGGGGCCTTGGGCTGGGCGCAGTTGGGAGAGAAGAAATGGAATGGGGTTTTATGCTCCAGGATGGGTGTCTGATGTGGGATTTTACAGCACTCAAGGGTGCACATGGTTGAGGAGGACTATAGAAAGTGTGCCTCTGAGAAGGAGGCAGGAGGATGGTAGAGAAGGCATTGCAGCTCACAGATGAGGAGGGAGGCTAGATCTTGTTTCCTGTGTACCCACCACTTCCCATTTTTAGGAGCCTCCCTCACAAACGAGCAGTGCTCAGTCAGGACCAGGGACAGCTCCTGGTCTGCTCTTGTTTTCCTCCCTTTAGCAGGGTTGCTTTCTTTTCTGTCTCCTTAGCCATAGTTTCACCCACACTCCCTCTCAGGGACCCTATCCTGACTATACTTATGTCTTCCCTGTTCTTTTCCCAACCCCTGCACAAATCCAGAGTCTCCCATTCTTCATTCAACCTCCTGTGCCAGCTGGCATCAGTCTCCCTGTCACCTCAAACCATGAAAGCCACTCTGTCCCCCTTCTAATCCTTCTCTGTCCCATTGTCCTCTTACTCTTCATTTCGCACTTCTGGAATATGTGGACATGTTTCACATATTTTAGTCCCTTTTTCCTACCACATGGTGTCTGGATGTCTTCCCTCTCAGCCCTTCCCTCTCCTAGCACAACAAATGTAGTATATATAAGGCAGGAGAATGAGGGCTTCTAAAGCCCAGCCTCTAAAATCAGAACTAGCTTTTTTGATACGGATTACGCCCCTGACCTACTGTGTCTTATTAAGCAGCTAGTCTCTTCAAACCTCAGGGTTTTTGTTTTGTTTTGGTCTTAAAATGAGATAATTCTTATTCAGACTACTGTGGCCCCTGACGAATAGAAAATATTCAGTGTTCGCAGTTAGTCTCTTCAAACCTCAGGGTTTTTGTTTTGTTTTGTTTTGTTTTTGTCTTAAAATGAGATAATTCTTATTCAGACTACTGTGGCCCCTGACGAATAGAAAATATTCATTGTTCGCCAGAGTGACAGACCGCTGTGTGGATAAAAGCAAATGGGATATGTAAAGAACAACTTTATAAAAAAAAAAAAAAAAAAAAAAAAAAAAAATTTTGTAAAGTTTTATAAATCAGTTAACTTGAGCTTTGTGACAATCCTATTAAGGCACGGTATTGTTAAATCTCCCATTCTGCGGATAAGGAAACGGCATAGAGACATTCCTAGGATACAGAACCCTGCAGCAAGTGGCCAAACACGATATTAAAACCAAGACAGGGCCCGGGATTAGCTTAGTTGTGCTGCCGCCTGACTCGCAAGCACAAGGTCCCAAGTTCTATTCCCGGTACCAAAAAACCACGAAAACCCAAGGCAATCGGCACTGAGTTTAAAATTATGCAATATATATGCAATGCTTAGCGTGACGGACGGATAGGAGCTACTCACACTGGAGTAGTGTCTTAGTCGGTTCGAGAAAGCAGGGAGCAAAGGGGCTGAACCCGAGAGCTCCGCGGGAGAGCGAGACCAGAAAAACTACAACATCCATGGGGCTCAGCGCCTTTCTTATGGAACTTCCGACTCTCTCCGGATGCGGCCGGTCATTGGTTCTCTGTGGGTCCTGGAGGCAGGAATTGGAGGTCAAAGCAGTGCTGATTTAGGATTGGTAGAGTTGCAATCAGTCATGCCTCTAACCCGGAAGTAATATCCGCGGATAGCCCCTTGAGTAACGCAGAAGCTATTTGGAGTGGTTGGAGTGAAGTGGTTTTCCGTCCGTCCCTCAGAGCGATTCTGAGTTCTTGAAGGGCAGCTTCGGAGGGCTTGGCCACTAAACTGGACGAGGGAGCCCTACTACCTTCCAATCCGTGCCTCATGGAGTCTCCATTCAGCAGCCCGGCGGAAGCAGTCCTGAAGCGGGAGGCGGGCATCCCGGGATTGCTCACTCCGCTCGCTGACCTCGACCGAGTGTACGAGCTGGAGCGAGTCTTTGGATTTGTCCGCGACCTCGGCTGTCAACGGGTGAGGGCAGACTTAGGAGTGGTGATTCACTTCCTGGGACGGGTCTCCCAGAGGATAGGAATCTTGGTGAATTTCATGAGAACAGGGGGATGGGAGAATTGGAGTCTTGTCTCCTCAGAGCGTGGGCCACCTACCACTCATTCCGTGGAACAGAGTGGTCTTCTGGGACCAGAGACCTTGAGGTTGAAAAATTTCCTGTAAAGAGGTCCTTGGTGGGAGCAGGGGGCGTGAAGCTCTTCCTGATTCCATGTCTTATGCTTACAGGTGGCCTTGCAATTTCCTGACCATCTATTGGGAGATGCAGGGGCCGTGGCTGCAAGATTGGAGGAGAGTACAGGGTCGAAGATGTTTATTTTAGGAGACACAGCCTATGGCAGGTGTGACCTTAGGTTCAAGTGGGCTAGGCCTGGGGATCCAGGCCTCATGGGGTTTCCCTGCTGTTACAGTTTCTGCCTCCAGTGTTTGCGTTCCTCAATGGTGGTGGTAATTCCCCTCCTGGTGCTAGCACCCCTTAGTGACATGGTCTTTAATGTCACCATTTTCTTCACTGGCCATATTTCCCATTGATGACAGCAGTTCACCTGAGGTAAGGACCTCTCTCATTGATGATATCTTTTCTGCAGCTGCTGTGTGGATGTGCTAGGTGCTGAGCAAGCTGGAGCTCAGGCCCTTGTTCACTTTGGCACTGCCTGCTTAAGTCCCCCAGCCCGCCCGCTGCCTGTCACCTTCATCCTTGGCCAGCGTTCTGTGGCTTTGGAGCTCTGCGCCAAGGCCTTTGAAGTGCAGAACCCAGACCCTTCAGCACCTGTGGTGCTGCTGAGTGAACCGGCCTGTGCCCACGCCCTGGGTGAGGGGTTATGCCTATGCAAGAAGGAAGGGTGGGCCTGGGGATTTAGCTCAGTGGTTCTGCCACCTGCCTGACAAGCACAAGGTCCTGAGTTCAATCCCTGATACCAAAAATAAAAATTAAAAAAAAAAAAAAAAAAAAGGGTGGGCCTATGGCTGTGTGCCTTTATTTCCCATTTTATTATACTCCTGTAGAATTCTTGACCCAGGTCTTTGCTTTTGGGTCACATTTGGTCTCCTGGGGAAGTGGGAGCTCCTGCTTTGCCAGACTCCAATCCTGACCCTGCCTTCTTCTCTTCTAGAGGCTTTGGCCACTCTCCTGCGCCCTAAGTACCAGGACCTGCTTGTCTCCAGCCCAGCTCTTCCCCTACCATCAGATTCTCCCAGTCCAGAGCCTAAGCCCTTGGAGCATTTTGGGCGCCACTTCCCCCTGGCCCCAGGGAGGTGTCTGGAAGAATATGGTGCCTTCTATGTGGGGGGCTCTAAGGCTAGCCCTGACTCTGACCTTGACCCAGACCTGAGCCGGCTGCTCTTGGGGTGGGCACCAGCGCAGCCCTTCTTCTCCTGCTGCCCAGACACAGGACAGACACAGGATGAAGGTGTCCAGGCTGGACGTCTAAGGGCACGGAGACGGTATCTGGTAGAGAGAGCCAGAGATGCTCGTGTGGTAGGGCTGTTGGCAGGCACATTGGGTGTGGCCCGACACTGTGATGCACTGGCACACTTGCGGAACCTGACTCAGGCTGCTGGCAAACGTAGCTATGTCTTGGCTCTGGGACGGCCTACCCCTGCTAAGCTTGCCAACTTTCCTGAGATGGATGTCTTTGTGTTGTTAGCCTGTCCTCTGGGTGCCCTAGCCCCTCAGCCTTCTGGTAGCTTCTTCCGGCCTGTGCTGACACCATGTGAGTTGGAGGCTGCCTGCAACCCTGCCTGGCCACCTCCAGGCTTGGCTCCGTATCTTACACATTATGCAGACCTGTTGCCTGGTGAGTGGTAGGTGACTGGCTTAGCTGGAAACTTGGGGCAGCTGGGCCCTTGGGAGTTGGGAGGCCAGTATGGATGTGCTTTCTCCCTCCCAGGTTCCCCCTTCCATGTACCCTTGCCACCACCTGAGTCAGAGTTGTGGGACACCCCAGATGTGTCTCTCATTTCTGGGGAGCTCCGACCCCCACTTGCCTGCAGGCCATCAAATGATCCTGGGTGCTCTTCCCTGACCCCACGGCCTCAGCTGGAGCTGGCTGAGAGCAGCCCTGCAGGTAAGTATGCAAGTCTCTATTCCTGCTAAAATCTTTCTTTAGGACCAGCCCACTTTGTCTGAACTCCTTCCCTCTTTCTATAGCCTCATTCCTTAGTTTCCGGAGCTGGCAGGGACTGGAGCCTCGCTTGGGTCAGACACCGGTGACAGAAGCAGTGAGTGGAAGACGAGGGATTGCCATTGCTTATGAAGATGAGGGAAGCAGCTGATACCTTGTGGGGCCAGAGACACAGAAGGACTTATGAGTTGCTACTAGAATGTTTAGTCCTCCCAGCACTGACTTCTCATCATCCTACCAGGATTCTTGAAGGAGCCTGCATAGGGAGGGCAAGCCAAGAAGCCCCTCACTGAAGATAGCTCCATGCCTATCTTGTCTTGGCACTGGCACTATGCTCACCACATAGTGACTTAGTAAAATCGCTATTGCTTGACTGATGGAGGAAAGGGCTTAGAGACTTTCTTGAGGCCTTCTGGGCCCATCTGTCCCTGGTGCAGCCCAGGACCAGCAGCCAATCCTAGTTCTGGGTCTGCAGTTGAGGGTTTGCCCTTATTTGTTTGTTTGTTGGTACTAGGGATTGAACTCAGGCCCTTGTGCTTGCAAGGCAGGCGGTGGAACCACTGAGCTAAATCCCCGGCCTGAGCGTTTTACCTTATTAAAGGGCAGGTGCTACGTTGTCCAGACTACGTATCTCAACATCAGCACTGCTGACATTTCGGACCAGATAATTCTTTATTGTGGAGGCTGTTCTGTGTATGGTAGGACGTTTACTAGTAATGCTGGCCTCTGCCCACAAGACATGAGAAGTGTTCTCCTTCAGCTGTGACAACCAAAAATGTCTTCAGACATAGGCAAATGTCCCCTGTGGGGGATAGTAGCCACTAGACACATATTTAAGTTTAAACTAATTAGATTAAAAGCTCATTCTCTCAGTCACACTGATTTCAAATACACATATACATGCATGAGAAGACAGTATAGGTATAGGACATTTCCATCACTGCAAAAAGTTCTATTGGATAGTTCTGGTCTACACTGATTCAGACTTGTTTCTCAGGATACAGAAATTCAAATAAACCAAATACTCTTTCTCTTTTTATTCATGATGCACTCTGATGTGAATTGTATTTAAGCAGAGTCTTGTCCTGACAGTCATGTTGGGAAAAGAGACAAATATACAATGACCCCACAGTGAAACAGTGCTATCTCTGAAGAGGGAGTCCCAGTGGCAGCAGGATCCCATACAGATACCTGATGAGACCTTACAATATTAAACATAATAGGCAATGAAGTTCTTTGAAGGTGAGCAAAGTCTGGGGAGCAGTTACAGAGTGAGCTAGAAAAGAGGAAACTAATGCAAGGGCAGTGAGGCTGGGGTGTGGCTGTCAGGTTTAAGCGATAGTAAGGACTATGCAGCCAGAGGGAGAAGAGTGGAGTGTTCCTTCCCCAGCACCAGGGTGGAAAATAAGGAATGTGGAGAGTTGCACTGGTAGGCCATTGTAGGAATTTTGGCTTTACTGAGTAAAATGAGACCACAAGGCATTTAAACAGGAAAGTGATGAGATCTTACGGAAACTTTACAAGGCTCGCCAGCGTCGTGGGATCCCAGAGGACGCCCGCCACCCTCCTGTGTGAGGGAAGGCATCCTGTAAGAATGACCTCTAAGGGCCAGGAGTTGATGGCCGGCAGTGGACTAGGGCAAACAGGCCTGCTTCAGGCAGGGGAAGCAGTCTGACACCTCCCTGGTTGCCAGGGAGCAGGCGGAGGGATCATCGCTGTTTCGAGGCCAGACACCAGGGAGAGAAATCCCTGAGGTTTCCGGAGCCTCTTTGAGGCGCTACTACAAGTACCACAATGCTTCGCGCGAGTCGACAGCCGCTCAGGGCCCTGTGTGGGGTCACGTGGGTTTAGCGTGTCACGTGGGCGCATCACGTGATGCTGCGGGACTGGCGGACAGACTGCGGGGCAAACGGTGGACCCAGGGACGCGGTTTAGCTGTGTCCACCGATCCGATCCCCGCCGACGTCGTCGTCATGACGGGGCTAGCGCTGCTGTACTCCGGGGTCTTCGTGACCTTCTGGGCCTGCGTGCTCGTTGTGGGTGAGGCCGGGCCCTGGCGGGGGCAGCTTCGGAGGGGGGCCGTACTAGAGTCCCCGAGGGAAGGGGCCAGCAGGAGTACCGGGCCCCAGCACGTCCCTCTGTCCCGGGCTCGGACTTGCTCCCCGCCTCTCGGGGCTTCTGATTCCAACCGAAGAGGCTAGGGCTCCAGCTGCTTGAGGAGGGTCTCTGGCCGCGGTAGGTGGGTCGCTGGCTGCGGCAGGTGGGGGCCGCGACAGGAGCACTAGCCCCGTTCTTCCTTTACCGCCATCTCTTGCATCTCCTTACTTTTGTCCTATTCTTGTTCTCGGCTGGCCTGCTTGGGTCACAAGCCGGTAGCTCCGGTTCCTGTTTCTGTCGTTTCGCCCTTCCCCATTCACAGTGTTTTGGGTAAACAGCGGCTTGGACTGGGCCGGCAGGATCCGGTTGCTCCTGGAAGGAGCGCCTGCTCCTTCCCTCCTTTTCTCCAGGGTATTTAGGCCTACTGGGCCTTGCCCGTGGAGGGGCTTGGGTCGTGGTGTCATTGAGGGAGCTGTGTTACTGAGGGAGTGACAGAAAATGGAAGCGGGGGGTGCAGTCTGAGGACTGTCTCTTGACTTGGATGTAGGAGGCCGGTGAGCTGGGCATTACTTATCTAGGCTGGGGAGCTTCTCTCTAGAGAGCAGCCCGTAACTTTTTTTTCTCACTGCTGCAGGAATCTGCTACACCATTTTTGACCTGGGCTTCCGCTTTGATGTGGCATGGTAAGAGAGGTCTCCACTAATATCTGCTGTCTAGGACATGGACATTTGAGAGATATGAAGTCTGTTGTTGCAGCATCTGGAATTGGTGGGGCTGGGAGGGTGGGAGGCCAAAGGTTTTGTGTCCCCTTTCTAGCCAGAGCTGGATTGATTTCTTCCCTGTTTCTACACCAGGTTCCTGACTGAGACTTCCCCCTTTATGTGGTCAAACCTGGGCATTGGTCTGGCAATCTCCCTGTCTGTGGTTGGGGCAGCCTGGTGAGTATTGGGATGGTGGGACAGAGGGGAGACAATGAGTCATGACAGGTGGCATCATTGGGTTTTTAGTCATCCTGGGAACAGTGACAGATTGGGCTCTGCTCATCAGTTCCTTTCATTTCCACCAGGGGCATCTATATTACCGGCTCCTCCATCATTGGTGGAGGTGTGAAGGCCCCTAGAATCAAGACCAAGAACCTGGTCAGGTACGTGTATGTGCAGCTGGGCATGGTGGTGTATGCCTGTAATCCTAGCAATTGAGAGGCTGAGGCAGGAGGATCTCCATGAGTTGTAGGCCAGTGTGAACTACATAGCAAGACCCTGTTATGAAAACAACAACAAAAACATCTGTATGGGGCTGGGGATTTAGCTCAGTGGTTCCACTGTCTACCTTGCAAATGCAAGGCCCCAAGTTTGATCCCCAGTACCAAAAAAAAAAAAAAAAAACAAAAAAAAC